AGATCCTTCAGCTCATATGCAGGTTCCCAGTCTGAGCTGCTTCTTCTCTGAAGCAATAGCTGTCAATTAAGCTTCAGTCAATATCTGCCCTGAAAACAAATGCCTTGGAATTCAGGAAATGTGTGTCTCTCTCCTTTCCACAGCATGTTTGAAAGTCTGTCTGTCTTTACTCTAAGGCCCCAAGTCGTGTAAGACTTTGTACATGATTTGTTTTATGAATAATATTTATGCATGTATTATATTTTTATACCAAACCGCCAGTCAGGTTATCCCCGATGGTTTACAAAGACATTTCAGTGCAAAATACCAGTTCACTCTCTCGATATATCTTATTTCGTAGTGACTCACATGTTCCAAAATGGCAGTTTTTAATGTTTGTGTGAGTGAATCAAGTATGTTTCTCAAGCACATTTAACCCAGGGCCTTGAATTGTGTCTGGGGCGGGGGGGGGGGACTGGTTCAGCAGTTCAGGAGCATTACCAGCCTCTTTCTCTTAGCCTGCCTAGCCCAACCCAGAGGGTTGTTGTGAGGGTCAAACCTAAACTCCCTGGAGAAACAGTGCAATTATGAATAACAGGGAAGTAAAAGCGGCTGGAGCAACAATTAGGAAAAGCATGGGAGGGCTGCCTCTTCTGAGGAGTCCTTTTATTGTCTAAAGAAAGATCCTCCCTTCATTTACATGTGAATGGGGCAAGCATGAGATAAATGGCCTGTTATGTGAGGTTTGTCCATTAGAACCAATTCATATGGTTCTAGCCAGTGTGGTGTAGTGGTTAAGAGTGGTAGTCTCATAATCTGGGGAACCGGGTTCGCGTCTCCGCTCCTCCACATGCAGCTGCTGGGTGACCTTAGGCCAGTCACACTTCTTTGAAGTCTCTCAGCCCCACTCACCTCACAGAGTGTTTGTTGTGGGGGAGGAAGGGAAAGGAGAATATTAGCCGCTTTGAGACTTCTTAAAGGGAGTGAAAGGCGGGATATCAAATCCAAACTCTTCTTCTCTTCTTCTTCTTCTTCATTCTGTAAAGAGAGCAAAGATTGCAGAAGACCCTTAAGTCTCTAGCGCTTTATCACCAAAAGACAATCAAACCCAGTCCATGGAACTTTCCACTGCTCAGAGTAATGTGTAGCGCTGGAGTTACTGTGGTGTAGCAATTACCAGGCATAAAACAGTGAGCTGGGGACTGAAACAAGATGGAGTAAATGAGAACATCACAACAGTCTGCAGAAGGGTGTAAGAAGCTGCCTTAATGCACATCGGGCTATTGATTCATCTAGCTCATCATTTCTATATCAGGGTTGGGAATCTGTGACCCTCCTCAAAGTTTGTTTTTAAATACTTCCTGCCAGTGGTGAAATGGGCACAGAAAACCCACATAATGGATCCCAATTCTTCTTACAGAGAAGGAACTTATGATGGTAAGTACCAACATTCACATCCCTGCCCATTGGCCATGCTGGTTGAGACTGATGGCAGTTGGACGACGTGTGGAAAGCCACAAGTTCCCATGCTTGGTCTACACTGACTAGCAGCAGCTCTCTAGAGTATCAGGCAGGAGTCCTTCCAACCCCAGGCCTACCAGGAGAAATCAGGGATGGAGCCTGGGACTTTCTGCATGCAAAGCCAGCTGTCTCTCTCTCTCTCTCTCTCTCTCTCTCAGCTATTACCCTTTCCTTGAATATTATTTAAAAGCAAATAGGAAAACAGAACTATGAGTCTTGATCATCAGGAGGATGTGCCTGTGGAGGCGAGAGTCTTGCTAAAGCAGGTCAAGACTGGCCCAGACTCCCAGCTATGGAGCAGCCTGCTAGGACTGGATGAGTTCGATGTGAGCAAACCCAGATCCTGTGATCATCAACTAAGGCCCTTCTTCATGTGTCCTTTCACAGAAAGTCTAGAGGATGGCAACACAATTGGCCTTTTCAGTAGTGGCTCCACTCTTGCGGAATCCGCCAGACAAAACATATTTCTTTTTCTGCCAAGCCTATCACCGGATGCCAGAAGCGGCTTAGTCATGCTGGCCACATGACCTGGAAAAACTGTCTGCGGAAGCGGACAAATGTCGGCTCCCTCAGCCTTTAAAGTGAGATGAGAGCCACAACCCCAGAGTCATTCGTGACTGAACTTAACTGTCAGGGGTCCCTTTACCTTTACCTTTGGAACGCGGGTGGAGCTGTGGTTTAAACCACTGAGCCCCTTGGACTTGCCGATCGGAAGGTTGGCAGTTCGAGGCCCCGCAACAGGGTGAGCTCAGCCCCTGCTCCTGCCAGCCTCGCAGTTCGAAAGCATGCAGTGCAAGTAGATAAATAGGTACCGCTTCGGCAGGAAGGTAAACAGTGTTTCTGTGCGCTGCTCTTGCTTTGCCAGAAGCGGCTTAGTCATACTGGCCACATGACCCGGAAAAACTGTCTGTGGAAGCGGACAAACGCCGTCTCCCTTGACCTTTAAAGTGAGATGAGTGCCACACCCTGGAGTCATTCGCAACTGGACTTAACTGTCAGGGGTCCCTTTACCTTTACCTTTACCTTTAAAAACAGGGTTGTCTTTTAGATTTTTCTTTGTTTTCCTGTATGCTACTATTAAGGTATGTGTTTGTTTGTTTGTTTGTTTGTTTGTTTGTTTGTTTGTTTGATTATATATTGTAAGTATTGTATATATATTATATATTTGAGCTACTTCAGTAAAAGGGGGAAAAGCGATCAATAAATTTAATAAAATAATAAGACAGAATGTGGTGGAGGACCGTACTGGGGGATGTGGCTGTCCACATTCTTAGTCTTTGGGGGAGTCTGTCAGCAAGGATGAGAATGAGATACTAGAGGCAAATTTCCAGGAATGGTAAAGGTGTTAGGAAAAGCAGTTCTGAGAGCTGAAGGATGCAGCCTTGAGGAATAATGTCTTGTAATGTGATACCAAAGAAGAGAGCGCGCAGGAGGAAGCAAGAACAGCCCTGTTGGAAAGCAGTGACCTGGAGGCAGAAAACCCTGGAGTGAAGAAAAACCCTTTGGCCTTCGCGCCAAGTGAAGCTCCGGTGAAGCTCTAAATGCTGTACTCTATCAGCCCCAAGCAGCATGGCCAAGGGCCAAGGATCAGAGAAAAAACTGGGCTTTAAACACCGTTTGGCACACACACCCCATGTGTACACATACACAAACTGGGAGCCTCAATGATGTCCCTCTGGAGGCTTTACCCAGGGCAAAAAAAACCTGGCTAGCCCTCCCCCCATAACTACAGCACTGCCAGGGATGATCGATGTTGCATCTGGAGGATGGTGAGTTCTGTGCCCTTGCTTTACTAGGTAGGACCATGGCCCTATAGCTGGTTTACCCCAGAGGCAGACTCCAATATCAGACGTAACCCCGAAGTTAGAAAGGAAGGGCACTCACTCACGTTTGGATGAGACGTGAGTACTTGGGGGACTGGGCAGACAGTGAGGGGAAGTGGGTTTTTTGGATGAGCCAGAATGCAATGGGGTTTGGGCAAGCTGGAAGGAGGAGGGATGATATGGGTGAGGTATAAAGGGAGGGGAAGAAGGAGTTGATGAGGTGTAAAAGGAGGGGAGGGACACGGGTGGCGCTGTGGGTTAAACCACAGAGCCTAGAACTTGCTGATCAGAAGGTCGGCGGTTCAAATCCCCACGACGGGGTGAGCTCCCGTTGCTTGGTCCCTGCTCCTGCCCACCTAGCAGTTCGAAAGCACATCAAAGGGCAAGCTCTGGCGGGAAGGTAAATGGCGTTTCCGTGCGCTGCTCTGGTTCGCCGGAAGTGGCTTAGTCATGCTGGCCACATGACCCGGAAGCTGTACGCCGGCTCCCTCGGCCAATAAAGTGAGATGAGCACTGCAACCCCAGAGTCGGTCATGACTGGACCTAATGGTCAGGGGTCGCTTTACCTTTACATTTTAAAAGGAGGGGAGCTTAGTCATGTGCAAAGGGAGAGGGTTGGCAAGGGGCTGGGTAGGTGGGATGGAGAGTGAAGCAAGTGAGAGCAGCATCCCTAGTTCTATATACAAGTGGTGCTCTGGTCTAAACCACTAAACCTCCTGGACTTGCCGAAGGTCGGTGGTTCGTATCCCTGTGACGGTATGAGCTCCCATTGCTCTGTCACAGCTCCTGCCAACCTAGCAGTTTGAAAGCATAGCAGTGCAAGTAGATAAATAGTACCAGTAAACGGCGTTTCTGTGTGCTCTGGTTTCCGTCATGGTGTTCTGTTGCTCCAGAAGCGGTTTAGTCATGCTGGCCAAATAATAATAATAATAATAATAATAATAATAATAATAATAATAAATCAATATTAATAACATGACCCGGAAAGCTGCCTGTGGACAAATGCCAGCTCCCTCAGCCTGAAAGCGAGATGAGTGCCACAACCCCATAGTTGCCTTTGACTGGACTTAACCATCCAGAGGTCCTTTACTTTTTTCCTTTTATATGAAAAGAGAATGAGTAAATAGAGCTCCTGAGTCCTAATACTGAAATGGGGGGGGGGGTATGAAAGTACATTGTAGAAAGTGTGTGACAAAAAGTATTTAGATTATTATGAACCCTAGCAATTGACATGTTCTTTCATGAGCTGGCTTAACGAGTCTGCCTCAACCCAGATTCTTCTGTGATCTTTCAGTCTGAACCCACTTGCAGCATTTATCCCCGTATAATCAGTGCTCTCTATCTTAAAATAGCATAACTGTGACCATTTTTGTAACTTCCACACTGTGGAAGTAGTAGCAACCACAAATGGAACAACAATTAAAAGCAAGGAACGAGCATACAATATAAGGCATACAAGCGCAACTGCTTTCTGTTTACTAAGGACACATAGTATTATAATTCCTGTTTTTTGAAAAAGAAGAAACAAGGCTTGGTTAATCAAACAGTTCATAGTGGACTTATTTGCATTTTTACCAACTAGGGAGGACTTAGCCCCTCCCTTGCCAAAGAATCTGGGGTGGGACCTTTGCAGGTTTTCTTTTTAAACGTTATGCTCCAGGCAGCGGAGCAGAAAGGGTCTGTTAAGGCAGCTGGGATACAAGCAGCAGCAGAACATCTATTGCATTTCAAATGCTTTTGCTTTCCTGTAAGCCTCAGAGATTTAGTCAACTTTTCATCAGCATTTTTCTTCAGAAGACAGGATACACCTTTTCCTCTTTCTAAAAGAAGGAACTGATCTGCCTGCAATCAGAAGCAACAGTTTTTGCTACTTGATTTGTGATACATTTAGCGCAAGAATTCTTCACCGGAATTATCCACTTTCCTTGATGATGAAGAAAAGCTTGTAAGTAGCTAGCCTGATAATTTGCATGTAAGTTTTGGTATGTTAAAAAGTCAAAGAATGTAAATTTATGTTAGCAAATTTGTTGTATAGTCTTCTAAAAGGCTTCACAGCCGGGGCTGATTTGTGCAGTGGTTATGTTGCCTCTCTGTAGTTTGCTCTTGCAATATATATAAACAGACCTGTGCCATAAACCCTTCCTGTCATATGACATCTGATATGTGAAACTCTGAGTGATGCAACAAGCAAGGTATTCATAAAGCAGAAATCTTTTCAATCTTAGCTGAATGACCAAGGCTTTCCCTATGTTTGTTTTTTCTCCGTGTTATCGGAGGAGGAAGAGAAGCTCATTACCAGAACAATTATTAACTGCCATTTCTGACTGAGCTGTGATAAGACAATTGAAATGTGCACCTTTATCATGCTGGGATCTTCATCTTGGCAAAACCATGTGAGCATCTTGGGATTTTCATGCCTATATATCAGAATGCCTGAGATTTACTACAGGATTACAACTATTCACTAGCTTCTCAGCATCAACACCATGCATTTAAGGCATTCAAATGTCACACTAAATATCACACTCATATAACAGTCACACCTTCCCCCAGAGAAGTCAGGGAAATCGCAGCTCTCTGAACAACTCTCTGTGCACTTGACAAACTACATTTCACAGGATTATTTGAGGAAAGTTGTGACTGTTTAAAGTGGTATAGTGGTGCTTTAAATGTACGGTATACTGTCAATGTGACCCATATTGTTATGGCTTCTGCCCAGCCACTCTTAATGGCTTATCCATGCTTTAAAGCTCTGTGTCCGAGCACTTTTCTTTTTTCTTGCTTACTTTCTTTTTTGCTCTGGAGCCTTCCCCAAGAAAACCCGCTCTTTACTGCTGAATCAGAGCAAACAGCAATCCATGGAAGACCCAAATTTCCATTTGGTGTGCTTCTGCTTTAAAGACTGTGGTTTTGTGGGGAAAGCGCCATGGTGGGGGGGAAAGAGAGCGCCTAGACACAGAACTTTAAAGTGCAAACCTGTGTCTGGAAAGCACAGGGCGAAGGGTAAGTATGAATAAGCCCTTATATTAAGCACCTTACTGGTCCATAGTCGAGAATGATCATGGGGACGCAGGAAGCTGTCATGATATAGACTTAAGATCATTGGTCCCGAGCACCACCTCGAAATGCAAGGAATTGAACCTGCAAAGCTGTGACACTAGGTGTCTCCAAGGCAAGGCAAGAAGTGAAGTAGCTGCACACAATTGTCAATGGATGTTTCATCAGTGAGTCTTATTAATTAGGACATGGGTTCTTAGAGTTGGGGATCTTGGTGTGTTTGGATGTGGTACCCATGGCACTTGGTTGGATCTATTCCCATATTGATCTTTCTCTAGATCTAATGTGGACCAGTGGATCTGTTGCATAGCAGGACTGCCTTTTTGCACCTACATCTGCTCTATTTGTGGATCCACAAATGAGGCAACTGGAACAAAGCCAGTGTAAGTCTCTCTCACCCAAAGGAAACCAGGCCAGTTAGAATTGGCCCAGAACTTTCCATTGACGGAGGAAGTGAGAAGCACATAACCATCTTTTTCTCTGCATGTACCAATTGCATTAGAGTGATAATTCCCAGTGGTACTTGCTTAGCAAGCAGACTGTCATTCTTCAATTTTTTTGCTTCACATGAGACTTAACAGAGGTGCTCATGAATAGCAAGGACATCTGTTGTTTTTCTAACAGTGTTGCATCGAATAATCTCACTCAGCTGATGGTAAGGCTTATGTTGAACAATGCCTTCTCCATGCTGTCACCTCACTATCACCCCTAAATTTGCTCTGGGGGGTTCTCTAGTCCTTCTGGGCCAAATTTAGTGAGGGGTTCAAGGGACTGTGGAGGTAAATCACTGAAAACAAGTTCCCAGAATTCTCAGTGAAGAGGGGGTGGTTGTTAAACCGCTCTGCAAACTGTAGCTCTGTGAGGGGGACAGGTGTCTCCTAACAACTCTTACCACCTTTAAGAAGCCACAGCTCCCAGAATTCCTTGGGGAACTGATGACTGCTTAAAGTGGTATGATACTTCTTTAAATGTAGAGTGTGAATGTACAGTGTGTACAGGCTGCCCAGTGTCTTCCTTCTGTGTGGAGGAGGTGATACAGTTTTGCCTACATAAGCAACAACACTTGGAGAATTGGGTTGTTGTCCTTATTTTTAATGATTTTAATACTGGTTGTTTAAAATATAACACGAGGGGTGTGTGAAAGAAGCAATGTTGGCTCCCATTGCCAAGAAGAATATTCCATCAAGAAAAGTTAATAATAATCCAACCATCCTAATTTAAATATATACAAGAATATAAGATGTCCATAGGTCCAAGATTAATGATTAAAATAAATCCATTCAAATTTAGAAAGAGCAGTGCAATCCGACCTTGAAGTATAAGTCTCTTTGCAACCGCAATGGCTCATCTGTGAGTTCCTACATCATAGGAATGTAGTTTAAAAGTGTGTGAACTTCTGTGGATATCAAAGATATTTCCAAAAGGAAGTTAATACAAAAAGCTGTTTCTGGCCAAAAGTGACACCACAGGGCACTGCAACATTATATGTTGCAATGAGACATTATCATCATTACATCACCAGTGTCTGTCTGAACCAACCCTTCCTGTGAAGACACTGCTGAGTTCAGTATACCCAAAACATCATTGTTGTGGTTGCTGAAGAAGTCTCAATTTTAAAACCAACATTAGTGTAGATTCTAATGTTGTTCCTTAAGCACTTTGAGTATCCACTTTAAGACATTCCAATAAATAATTATTTTTAAAAGACCAGCAACTATAGGTTTAACTTTCTGTAATGTAGGGTTCCCATATTTCAAAAAGTGAAAATCTGGACAGAAAAGTTATTGAGCTGTTTTTGCAAAATCGCAAAGAAACTGGACATTTAAAAGCCATTTTTGAGGAAAACACAGGGGGAAGGCAGACACTGCCGACATTGGTCGCCATATGTCCGGATTTTCCCAGGCATTTGGCCGATTTCTGCCAGGAAACTACTTTTGACTGCAGTATTCCATGTATGTCCAGGAAATTCCGGACGTATGGCAACCCTATAATGATCCAATTATTCCCTCCACCAATGCAGCAGATTCTGAAGCTGACAGTCCATAAACAGGCACCAAAAGGTGCTGTCACTGAAGATATTACCATTCAGCCGTGGTTATAGTAGTCCCTTTCTTCTTATATTCGTAGACCTTAGGAATATCAGAAATAGAAAAACAGAGGTGCTTGGAGAATTAAGTTGGAAATAGAAAAAAATGATGTCTCCTTTTAGCACTCCTGTAAACATTCTTAAAATAGCAAGGATGTGGAAGGAGATGTGCAGAGGTATCTTTTGTAACACCTGGAGGCTGATTTGTTAGGGCCCATCAATCTCAGCCTGTCCTTAGCCAGCCTCCACCTGTCTGCTGTTCTTACATTCACTCCAGGGGGTGGTACTGAATGTCAACTTCCTCCTCCTAAGTTTCAGTATTCCTGTTTTTGAGCTCAGTAGGACAAAGGCAAAACAAGAGTTAGTTGCCTCTATTTTTCATTAGCACTGTCTCCAGCTACTGTTGGCATCTCTGCTTTCTGCACTACCAGGGCTCAACCACACTTCCACTTGTCCCATTCCTAGAAAGCACAGGTCCAATAAATTTTCCACTTGCCCTGCATCTTTTCCAGGGAAAACCCACCCTTTAGCCCTAAATTGGAGAAAACTCGAATTGCCATTTGCTCCGATTGAGCGCTAAAGAGCAGTTTTCCGTAGGGGAAACCAACAGTATAAGTGGAAGTGTGAATAAGCCCCCCATCTCAATGGGTCCCAGCCACCAGTGCCTTTGTTTGGTGGGGGTGTGCATGCGTTTTGCATTAAAAGAGCTTTGAAGGGAAGAAGGATATGGGTAAATAGCTTGCCATCTTTTCATCCATGGAAGCCGCATGCAGATGGTATAATGAAGTGGGAATGTGGTTGTGCCTGCTAGTCCTGGACCCTTGCATTAAGTTATAGCATCTGTAAGGAGGGCAGATGTACATGGATACCAGTGTCCAACATGATGGATTGTGTGATCTGTACATTGCAAATTATGTGATGTAAAGATCACATCATTCCTTCCAAGCCCCTCCTTTGTGAGGGTTTATCATGAGTTACTGACATTCAGTTAATACAGTATCTGTATTTTTGTTCTATTATGGTACAACTTTAACTGAGTTTGTAGTGCTTTTAATTTTGGTGCATTGGATGCAGAAAAGTATAGATATAGATAAAGAAGCAATGCATGCAAAGTGTTCAAGGAGGTGCGGCTGGCAGACATGATTACTCCTCATATTGATTATACAGGGCTCTACAGGGGATTAAAATTTGCCCAGGAAGAAATCTTTAGAACAATCCATCCCACAATTATATATATATATATATATATATATATATATATATGCACCCATGTTTAACTATCCCATTGAAGCAGCCAATGAGACTTAAGTATGTTGAAATTTAGGCTTGAACTTGTCCTTTTTTTCGGTGATAACCGAGTGCATTTCCCCAAGAAGCAAGTTAGTTCCTCAGAAGGGCATGTGAAGGGCAAGTTCCTCTTACATGCACTTAGGAAACCGTCTTACATAAAGTCTGACCACTAGTCCATCTAGTTCAGTATTGTTGACACTTGGGCTTATCCACACTTCCTTTTGCCCCACTGCTTTCCCTGGGGGGGAAACAGCACTTTAGCACTCATTCAGAGCAAACAGCAGTTCAGGTTTCCTCCAGATTGACGTTTGCTCCCATTTAGAGCTAAAGATCAGGTTTTCCCTCAGAAAGGAACGGGGCAAGAAGGAAACCGCTTGGATCTGTGCCTAGAAAGCATGGATCAAATGGAATACCACCGGGCTGTGCTTTCTAGGCATGTGATAAGCAGAAGTGTGGATGAGCCCACTGATTGTCAGAAGAAATTGATAAGATTTCACATAGAGGTCTTTCCA